TAGAAATTTTAAAAAATAAGTAGTAGCAAAAAGTAAAAAACACATAATTTTAAAAGCTACAATAGAAAAATGCAATATTAAATCACATGGAATGCTTTTCTACTAATAACTACTAATAACTGTGGTGGTATATACTTGTGAAGTCTATATGCAAGCATTAGAAAGGCCACGTTTAACATCTCAATTTAAGAAGTCCTCTGGGATAAGACTTGTCTGAAAACTGTGTGCTTGTCACAGTGGATATTAAAACTGAATGCCAAGCTTATCCAAGATCTACAGGAAAAAAAAGACATTATGGAAACAACATACTTAAAAAGCTTCACAAAAATCAATTTAGAATACCAAAACAGTTAATCCAAGGCCAGACATTGGGGGTATAAGAACTCTCTAACCAGTCTAGACCCAAACTTAATACACTGAAATTTTGGCAATCCAGAGGTATAGGTTAGGAACATCTAATTTTCCACTTGTTTATAATTTCTTCCAATTTCTCATTTGGGCTACAATGATTTAACCTAAAAATACTGCCATTTTTAAATGAAAGGAATAAGATTAATTCCATCTTTTCTATTTATTATAGCTTTATTTTTCTAGTTTAAAAACACAAATTTAGTACTAGTAAGTTTCCATTATTCATTTTTTCTGAACATTTTGGAAACATTTCTCATGGATCCCTGAAGTTTTGTATTATTTAAAATTTGAGGCAATCTTTTTTTCTCCTATTCTATTTTCCCCTCCTTTTACTGAAGTCACTAGAAGTGAGAAACTTTTTATCATGAACTTATTTGTTCCAACAAAGAAGATTCTTTAGGTGACTATTAGGCTGGTAGTTAAATATCCTCATCAAAATAAAACGTCTGTAACTGGAAAGTTTTATCTTTTGTAAGCCATATAGTTAACAGCTTAACTGTTAAAATTTTGCACTCCTGAAAGACTGTCTTTGACCTAAGTATCAAAGGTAAGATTATATTCACAGAATAAATATGAGAAGTCTGATAAAAACTTAATCATAAAATTATTATAAATAGCAGGGATAAAGTCATAATGACCAAGCAGCTGAACTTTTTGATGTTTTTCAGTGGATTACAGTATTTCAACTAGGGTAGGGGGACAGAAAAAAAAACAACAGAAGATTCATCATAATGTACAGGAAGTATACAATATCAGGCCCAGTACAATGTAACTAATCAACATTGATTCTATAATGACTAATGGATTAAAACAATAAAGATATAAGAACCCAAAATGGAGGGGAATGCTTAGAACTGCTTATCTCCTACTGTATGTATTTAAATGGAGAGCTGGAGCTCACAGAGAGCAGTAAGGAATTCTGCATTTTCAGGATCTATCTTTTGGGCTTTCTGGTAATACGCAGCAGCTTGCCTCTTATCTCCTTCAAGCTTGTAAACAAATCCTAGGGCACTTAAACTCTGCACATCTGAAGCATTGTGACAGAGTCTCTTGGTAGCCAGTTTCTTCAGAGCACTTGTCAGTTTCATGTGTAGGGATGACCCATGTTTGACCTTTAAGGCTTCTAAATAATGATGGATGGCAGCATAGTCTGACTTACGGTGAAATTCCTGAAAGCGGCCATAGTGGTAGTGGATCTGCTGTTTGTGATCATCAGTTATGTGCTCTAGACAAAGGGCTTTCTGGAAAATGTCTTCAGCATTCCTGTGCTGGCCTCCTTCAGCATACATGCTGGCCAGGTCCAGGTAGGCAAATACAAACATAGAGTCTTGCTCCACTGCTGCTCTGAAATGAAATATAGCGGATGCTATCAGCTCATCAACCTTCAGCTTATCCTTTCCTTTAGGTCTATTACGTGTGGCCTTCTTGATTTGGATCATTTGTGCCCGGTAGCAAAGTCCCATCTGGTGATGCAGGAAAGAAGAGTTTGGTGTCGCCTCCAAGGCCTTTTTCAACAGTTGGAGAGCTTTGTCCCAGGACTTTTTTCTCCTGTAGAATTTGGCTGCATAGCGAAGGACATAAGGCTGAGATGTTTGTTCCAGAATTTCTTCAATGTACCTTTCCCCTTCAGCCTCTGCATGTACATCTTGAAGCTTCAGTGCCAGGAAAACCTTAATGTAGGTGTCATGTGGGTTAAGAGCAACAGCTTTCCTCAGTGGTCCCAGAGAAAAACTCTTTATAGACCCTTCCTCGTCAAAATTATCCAGCCGATAAACTGTGATGGCATAGCCTATGTTAAATTCTGGATTGTCAGGTTCTGCTTCCAGAGCCTTCTCAAAAGCGACTTTAGCTTTTTGGTAATACTTTCCTCCAAATTTCAAAAGTGCCCATCCTTTCTCACAATCAATTGCGGGACACTGCAACTTATAGTTAGAAGGACTGGACAATTTTTTGCAGACATTTCCTACCTGGTCTATGTACTTCTGAACCTCTTCAAACCGGCCCATACGGTAAGACACCCAGGCGTAGTTTCCCCAAGTGACCAGACTTCGGACTTCCTTTTCATCTGCGTGTTCTTGCTGGATTATTGCTTCTGCTTGTTCCAAGCACTTGAGGGCATCTTTGTTTTGGCCTTTTAGGTGTTTAACATACGCCAGTAGGTTATAAAGAGCAAGTCTGGATTTTGTGGTAAGAAATTCAAGCTGCTGTCCAATTGTATCTTCCACTTCAAACAGATCAATGTCTTTCTTAAGTAAATTCCATGTGAAGTGACATTCTAATTCCAACAGTATGGCCTTCAAGGAATCCTTGGAAATGTCACTGTCAAAGACAAAATCCTGTTTAGTTTTTGAGGAAATACTTTTCTAAACCATGAGCATATCCTTGGCCTAACTAATTTTATCTCTCATTTAAACTTACAGTTAAAGCACTAGGTTTCCCAACTAGTTTCCCCTCAAAATAGTAAAGTTCTGTAAGTATTTCATTTAAATACTCACTGTATTAGGAGGCTGGAGCTGTGGCTCACTTGGCTAATCCTCCGCCTTGCAGCACTGGCATCCCATATGGGCGCCAGGTTCTAGTCCTGGCTGCTCCTCTTCCAGTCCAGCTCTCTGCTGTGGCCCAGGAAGGCAGTGGAGGATGGCCCATAGTCCTTGGTCCCTGCACCCACATGGGAAACCAGGAGGAAGCACCTGGCTCCTGGCTTTGGATCGGCGCAGCGCCGGCCGTAGTGGCCATTTTGGGGGTGAACCAGCGGAAGGAAGACCTTTCTGTCTCTCTCTCTCACTGTCTATAACTCTACCTGTCAAATAAGTTAAAAAAAAATACTCACTGTATTGAAAACCAGTTGTGGAGTGATGACAAGTTTTCTGTTATACAGAGGTATTTCATTTTGACAGTTACTGACCCTTGAAAATTAGTTTAGTTAATACAGAAATAGATATTCTATATTATGGGTAGTAAAAGGAGAGAATAAGAAGTGTTAAATAAGAAAAGATGTGTGCTGAAGAGGACAGAGAAGCCAAACACATTTATCATTTTTGCAAAGAAATGACAAGAAAAAATAAGGAAGCACCACAGGGAGGGGGTAAAAAAAAAAAGCATAGAAATTAGGCAGAAAGAGGTATAATGAGAGAAAGGCTCAAGAAGCCCCAGTGTGAGATATGCTAAAGAAAACAAATAGAAATTTACAGAAATATGGGAGCAAAGAAAAAGGGAACCTTAGATTTTGATATAAGTGTTACATCCATCTGACTTATGAGTTGAAGGCAAAAATTAAAGTTAACAACTACTATTGACTGACTTATCATTGTCTTCAGTTCAAGAAAAAACTGTTGAGTGCCCTTTATGCCAGGCCTAGGGTAATCTCTGCAGCACCCCTGGAGGCACTATCTCTGAAACTAGGAAGATGAAGGCAGAAGAAGCGTAGGAAATATTTGTTAGGGAGATCCTTTTATGTGTAGGATGTTCTGGGAGTGCAACTGTGGATAAGATGCAACACTGATTATACAGAGCCTACGTAAGGAAACAATTACATGAAGTTCATATTACAAGGAAAAGGTCAATTCTAACTCCGTGTTCTAATGAAGTCCCATGGAAACAACTGAGGAAGGGCACATAGTCCAGGGTTATGAACATTTGTTGCTTTTACTTATCAGTTGCCACCAGTAGAAACAAGAATTGCTGCTTTTGGTTTTCCTTTGTGGAAACCACCTCTCATACTCTAAAATCTGTAAGATTGGCGCCTTTCCACTTCCGTCTGAGGGAAGGCACAGGATATCTCAGTCATTCCCTGGACCCAGTGGTTTATCCAGATAGTCCAATTAAAATCTAATTTTCCTGAAATGGGATTTCCTGGGACTCTTTGTCTTTCCTCTAAAAACTTTAACAGGGTAGAATTTGAGTATAAGCTTGAAGTAGCTAGTGGCCATCTTTCTGAACTCTGGAGGAGAGCCTGCTTGAGAAAGAGGCAAACACACAGGAAATCAGAACTTGGAAAAGAGATAGATTGCTAATGATACCAAGTACCTGTGCAGTCCAGTTGTCTATCCCTTCCTCAAAATAATCTCCTTCTCTCTCTCTATCAGCTTAAGCCAGTTTGAATAGGGTTTCCACTGTCTATAACTGATGAAGTCCTGAATAAGATATTTATTTGTTGATAGTTTTCTAACTTTATACGGACCATAATTAAGGGTGACTAAAAATTAAGGCTCTGCTCTTAGGGGAGGGAAATACCTTAAATATGGATGAAAAGCCCTCTTATGTGTACTGTGTGTATCTGAATCTCACTGTCTGCTGCACAGAGGAGCCTTCCTTTTGAATATCATATAAGCATGTTTGCATAACTATGGTAATATTTCTGTCAATACACATTTACTGATCACCTCATGTCATGCATGCCAAACAACATTCTATAGAAGATACAGTTATGAGGAAGACAGAAACAGGTCCTTTCTTATGGTAATTTAGTTCTGGGAAAGGTGTAAAGTGATTCTACACACTAGTAAATGATAAGAATAACAACAATTACAAAACAAAAACTGTATAACTCACTGGAGTGGTATTGGCAGTGGGAATACTTTCAGTTATGGTTGACATGGAATAGCTCTTGTGGAAAGCTGCGATTGAAGTTAAGATCCCAATATGAAAAGCAGGCATCAAAACATGGGCCAGAGAGAGGATAGGGTGAGAAGCACTGCTATGTTCCTAAATCTGTATGTAGAAACACATGAAATTGTATCCTTTAAAGAAAATTTTTTAAAAAAGATTTTACTTGAAAGCACAAATAAAAATTAGTAACAGATAAAAAATTTTTAAAAAGTTATCAAAATGATCAAAACCAGTGATTTGCTCCCAGAAAACATTTAAAAATGTCTGAAGACACTTTTGGTTGTTACTACTTGGAGAAATGCTACTGACATCTAGTGAATCAAAGCCAGGGATACTACAAATATCCTAAAACAGACAGGCCATCCCCCAACGACAAAGAAGTACTCAACCCAAAATGTCAGTAATGCTAATGCTGAGAAACCAGCAAGTGCAAGTGCCCTTATGTGGGAACAATTTAAGAGGGTTCAGGGGGGCCAGTGCCATGGCTCACTTGGTTAATCCTCCGCCTGCAGCACCAGCATCCCATATGGGTGCCAGATTCTTGTCCCGGTTGCTCCTCTTCCAGTCCAGCTCTCTGCTGTGGCCCAGGAAGGCAGTGGAGGATGGCCCAAGTGCTTGGGCTCCTGCACCCACATGGGAGACCAGGAGGAAGCACCTGGCTCCTGGCTTCGGATCAGCATAGTTCTGGCCGTAGTGGCCATTGGAGGGTGAACCAACAGAAGGAAGACCTCTCTCTCACTATCTAACTCTATCTGTCAAAAAAAAAGAGTGTTCAGGGACAGAAGGAAGAAGAGTAAGCTGGAAGCATAGTAAATAAACTAGGAGGAAAAAATGGATATGAAGTAGAATGGCAGGCAGGGATATGCAGATGTACAAGACCAAACTGGCTATAATGAGGAATTAAATTTTATTCTAAGTGTAATAGGAAACAATTAGAGATTTTAAGGTGGGGAAATGATACTGTTTGCTCTAAGTTGAAAAAATATTCTCTTGGGCTATTCTATGAAGAATGTATGACAGGGGTCAAAGATGGGAAACTGGTGGAGAGCTATTTATTCAATACGTGTTTATTAAGAGCTTATTTTATGTGGGGGACTCTTTTCTGTTCTGTCTTGGGGATACAGCAATGGACAAAGAGGAAAAAAAAATCCCAGACATCATACAGCTTACATTGAAACAGGAAGGTGCAGTGTGCCATAAAAAGACAAAAAAATCTGGAATATGTGAGATGATTAATAAATGCTAAGAATAAAGTTGGAAAGCGGAATGGTGAAGTTGAAAGGGGGTCTATTTTAATTAGGATGGGTGGATAAATCTCCCTGCAACAAGGAGGCGCTGTTGAACAATCCAAGGAGAGATGAGGTAGGCTTATGGGAGGTACTTCAAAAAGTTCCTGGAAAACAGAACTAAATGATTAAGTTTTTATTGGTGTAAAACATTTTTGAAACTCATGTAGATTTTTGTATACATATGTTCCAGGAAGTTTTTGAAAGTACCTGGTATAGGGTTGCAGTAGAAGGTTCCTTAGAGGACAAGATGGTCACATTTCAGACAGACTAGAAAGATGGAATCAAGGATACACTTAACACTTCTGACTTGAGGAACTGAGTAGATAAATACAGAAAATGGAACTATAAATATTGAGATGCCTATTAGACATTCAAGTGAAAATTTCAAGTTTGAAATTGGGTAATATAAAGAAAATCCTGGAGATGAGGAGGAATGAAGTCAGCCCTGGGGATGTAAAATCGGGAATCGCTGACACACAGATGAACTTTAAAATCATGAGCCCTAGAATGTGATTGCCTCAGGAGTGAGCAGAGATAGAGGAAAAAAGTAATAAATGGATTGTTCAAACACTCCAGGTCCAGCAGAATAGAAAGACCAAGAAAGGAGGCCTAGGAAGATTGTTGAATGAGGAAGTCTTAAAAACCAAGAAACCTGGTACAATGGAAGCCTAAGGAAGAGAATGTTTATTTCAGCAAAGACAGATGAAATGTTCAATGAGTAAAATGATTCTAAAAGTTGAGAAAATGAGGAGAGAGATCTCCATTTTGGCAGCAGAGTTGTGTTGGACCTGATAAGAGCAGTGATACTACAGATGAAAGCATTATGGAACTGGGCCAAGGGCAGGACAGGAGTCGAGGAAGTAAATATGGGGAAAATAGGCCACTCTTTCAAGGACTTTCACTAGAATGGAACAGAGGAATAGACATAGCTGGAGGTAGGTTGGTTTCCCCATTCTATACCACAGCTGCCTTTCTGTTGAGTTTGGGCAAAACTTTGGTCTTTTTGCTTACACTCTTGGTGCATGAATTACACTGTCTGGACAGCACCACTGAATTTAAAAAATATAGACATTCTGTTACTCTCCTGCTAAAAATCTTCCACTGGCCTTCCAATATCCTTAGATATTAATCCAGCTCTCACTTCAACTGCGGTAAAAGAGTTGGCCTTACCACCCATCCAACCTTCTTTCCTAGTATTCTCCCCACTGTTCACGGTGCTTTGGGCATACTGACCTATCTAGAGAATACAAAGAGGAAGGACTGGCACATCTGTTGTTCTCACTCTGCCTGGTTTAAATCTTTACATGACTAAGTCTCCTGTCATTCAGCTCAAATATTCCCTAGCTGAGGCTGCGTATGGCAACGTTATCTAACATAGCTCTCCCCAATTTAGTTCATTCTCTAGCTCATTACACTCACTTCCTGAATTATACTTTTTACTTACCCACTTATCTGTTATGTGTCTATCTTAATCCATTAAAACATAAGCCCTATGAAAAGAGGTACCTTTTTCCAAGTTTGGCTTTTTTTTTTTCCTCTGTACTCCTAGCATCTATTACCTAAGACATATAACAGAAGCTCAATAAATACTTGTTGGATGAATGAATGCAGTTATGTCGTGGCAGCTCCTGGCATAGCTAGCCCAGAAGTATAGGCCTAGCATAAACCAGTACCTGAATTCCAGCTGAGCCTGCCGCTCTCTTCCTGCTAAAGGCTCCATATTTTCTCCCATTTCAGTAGCCTCTGTCCCATTTGTTTTACAGCTTGGAACTCTCTGCCTGGCTCCGAGTTGAGATTTTGAAAATTTTAGACTGCTTCCCATGATCCTGACTGGGGAAACCTAGTAGGAGGATTACCTCTTGGTAACAGTTTGTTTCTCCAGTGTAACCGCATGGGCAAGTGTTACGCCCTGTATCCTACTCAGATCCATGAAAGTAAGGTCTTGTGGGTTCCCTGTCGGTTAAAGAGTAAATGAACTGTGGCCTGTGTTCTGAAGATCTCTAGCAGTTTGGCAGCAGGAGGCTGAGGAGGGCTGCTCAGGCTTTGTGAACGTGGCTGTGAGATGGCAGAGGAGCACTCTGCCCAGACTGTGCAGTTCAAGCACAATTGGATGCGGTGAGGAGTTTCACTGTTTCAGCTTCGTCTACCGAATTTAACTCGTCTGGGCAGCTGGTAGAGAAGGGCTGTTGCATCTGGAAAGGCAACATTTATCTTTATGTAATTTCTTTCTTTTGCTAGATGGGGGCTGTCTTTCACTGTTGGGAAGATGTCCCCAATAGGGCCCATCTCTCTTCCATTCCATCATATTCAGACAGTGCATCCCACCGCCACCCATTTTTCTGGTTGCTTCTTCAAGCCCCTTGCTGAAATCTTCCTCTTTTCGTACAAATGGTGAAAGTTAGGCATTTAAATTTTAAATTCATAGTAACAGCACCAACTGTGCATATAAAAATTTAAATTTATAGTAACAGCACCAATTGTGCACATATTATGCACTGAGAAGTCAATTAACTATTTCCAGTCCCAAGAGCTGGATAACACTAATATTTACAGGTAAGGTTAAGAAACTTCGTTACATGTCCTCCACCTGGGAGGTGCTGAGGGTGGCATTAGAACACAGGACTATGGGCTTACAGGCATGGTTCACTAACCCCGTGGAGGGCAGGGTCCTAGCCCCCGGGGACACAGAGAGGGTACGTACGAAAAGTACTCTACCACGATAAATTAGTAAAGGAGACAGATAACAAATCCTCATACAATGCAGAGGTACCATCCGAGAAGGAACCCACAGGTGGGAAGGGCGAGACGGCAGCGGGAGACCGTGCCACACCGTGGCAATGGCAGCCAGAAGGAGGTCCTGCAAGGAGCCGCGCAGGCACTGGCGACCCTGTCTCTGAGCAGCAGCCCCAGGAGGGGACTTGGGGGCCTCCCGGGAGGCGGCAGGCTCCACCAGAGCTACTAGCGTGCCAGAAGATGCTGGCTGGCCACCGCGAGCCCACGAGGTCCCCGTGCCGTGCCGGGAAGAGCCTCTGGCAGGGGACAAGTCTCCCAGGGGACGGGCTCTCGGAGAGGTGGCCCGATCCTCCTCACTGACCAGTCGGTCCAGGCTTTCCTAGGCATCCCTCCTCCCCAAGCGCGACTTCAGAGCGGTGGACAGGGACAGGGCTCGCGGGGTCGTGCCAAACACCGACCCCGGCTGGCTGAGGGGCGTTGTGGGGCTGGATCCTATGGAGGGCCACAGCGCTGGGATGGAGAAGAGGAAAAAGGACGGTACCGGCTTGAGCTAGAGGCCGATGCGGGACTTGAGGAGTTGTGCGGGAAAAGACCTTACCTCATGGCGACTGCCACCGGGAGTCGGTATCCACTGACGCGTCCTCCAGACCCGGCTGCGGGAGGCGAGTGCGCATGTGCGCGCTCCCCGCCAAGGCATTTGCAGAGGTGGATGTGCGGGAGCTGCCACTCTTTGTTGAGGGAGGACCCGAGCAGGAAAAGGAAACTAGAAAGCGAATCTGATTGCATCCCTGCCCCTCTCGGAAAACGAAACCTAGAGAAGGCAGGGGAGGGGGAGGGGGGGAGGAGGGAGGCGTTTGGTTGGAGCAGGGCTCCTCGGAGTTGACTTTGACTCCGGACCACTGCACTGAGTCCACATGCCACTCGGTTAACTTTTCTGTAAATTAGGGAAATATAGGGGTGAAAAGGTATGTACGTTTTAAGTTTTGATGTTGCTGAATAGCTTTGCAAGGAAGTGTATGCAGTCCCACCCATAACTGTATGAGAGTACTTTTGTCCCCACACCCTTGTCAACCTGTGTATGATGAGGCCCCAGTCAAGATTGGGATGATAATGAACAGAAAATGTCAAACCTGTATGTTATAAAAAAAATTTTTGGCCTCCAAATTCATTCATTGATTCAACAAATGTTACTGAAAACCTGCTAAGAGCCACACTTTGTTCAAGGGACCTTCAATACAGAGTTGGGGTTCACGGTGTTTGACTACTGTAATTAGGGTGCGGGGTGGGGGGAAGGCTTCTCCCGAGCAAAGAGCTGAGGGCTGTGAAGAAGTGAGCACTGGACTTGGGGCTGGGAAGAGTGTTCTGAGCCTAGAAAACAGGAAATGCTGAGGCCTTGCAAGAATTGGCAATCCCGGAGGGTGGTGTGGCAGTGGAAAAAACGGGCAAAAGACACAAAAAAATTCGGCCAGAGAGGCAATGTGTGGTGGTCTTGGGACGCTGCTGCACGGTTTATCGGAGATCACATTGTGGCAAAGATACTGATTTATTTTGCCTAGAAAAATAAATGCAAGGATGTGGAAGAATTTAATACAGCTCCAGTGTTTCAAAAATGTTCCTGTGCACTGATCCTTTTTCGTTCTGTATTCCTATTTCTTCCTCTTCCCTCGGTTGCATGTGGGCTAAGAGATGGTCTTCATTTACTAAGGTTTTCATGAATAGAAACTAAGCCACCAGTGGTAAAAATCAAGGGGAGAAATATCTGTTTACCTTCTTAAATTGTTTAGGAATTTGAATTCATAAATCAAAAGTCATGTGTAAGAATATTAATGGGATATACATTTCAGGATTGAGAAGAAACAAGACTTGGCTGTTGAGTGGGTATTGAACATGCTGAAATTATTAGATGGGACTGGAATCTCAGTCTTTTTAACAGACTGAATAGTTGATTATCTTTTGCATTTATGTTAAAATTTAAAAACACAGCAATTGGAGAAAATGGGAACAGAAAGTGACATATGATCTAAAATTTGATTGGGAAACTAACAAACAATAGTAGTATTTTGGAATAAACCTTGACTGTTGATAACTGTTCTAAGAAATGGATGTAAGTCAAAGTTTCTCAACCGTGGCACTATGGACGTTTGGACTGAGTAATTCTTTTGTTGTGGGAAGCTGTCCAAGGCATTGCAGGATACTTAAGCAAGATCCTTTCATAAACCCTCAGTAATATCCCCGAAGTCCAGTCATCAGAATAAGTCCACTGGCATTGTCAACCCTCTGGGAGGCAAAATCTTCCCTCATTCTCTTACTGCATTCTCCTCCTTCCATTAGATCACTGCTGTAAATAATACCTTCATTTACATTCCTAGTTTAAAGATTTACGTGCATGATATAGCCTGCATGAGACATGAGGCAGACTTCAAGTGTCAGAAGAAAAATGAATGCAGATTGAAGAAGTTGAAAATATTACTCAGATTCAGAAAGAAGAGGCCTGGGTGAAAGGGTGGAGTCTTTATATAAGAAATATACTAATTTTAATGAAGAAAATAGGAAAAACTTGCAGCAATATAATTTTGTTTGATTTAGACAGCTGCTTTATCCAACTTTTTAATATATTTTAAATAAAAATAATTGTTTCTAGTTAAAAAAAAAAAAAGGAATACCAGAAGGCTTACTCCTTTCAACGTGGGACTTCAGAGTAGAGGTGGCTGTATGACATTTGGTCTCGCTGGGGTGGGTAACTGGAGTGGAAGTAGGCTATAGGGGAGAAGTGCTGAGTCCCCATGAAGTTTCTTTTCCAGCAGCATCATGAAAATGCAGATATGGGTGGTCAGATTGGCCTGCAAGGGGCTGGAGCCTGCAGTGGTGTGTACACAGCAACAAGCAAAGGACTGAGCTGGGACCCCTGAGCAGTAGTCAATGAGAGGAGCTGGAGCTTGGCCTGATCGAGGTGTAAATGTAAGTAAAGGGATCAGCTGAGGTTATGTCAGTCATTCATTTACATGGGAGTAACACGTTGCTGAAATTGAGATGCCAGTTTCAAGAGACTTCATGGTAATGCCTAGAGGTGTTTGTGTGTAAGTATGGCAATGCTATGAGTATTTTCAATACAAAACAGCATCTATATTCCTGTATCTTTTCCTATTTGCCTTTGCCAACATTCAGGCTATGCCACACTTGAATATTCTTGACCGTGAGAAGAGAGGAGGTCTCTTGAGAGATGGGATGGAGAGCTGCTGTTGGGTAAACAGTGAAGCATTCTATGATCTCTGAAGACTGTCATGCCTGTCTCACACAACATGTTCTCTGTATTATAGAACTTGTTATATAATCATTACTTTGCATTGGTGATCTCTGCTGTCATATAATTTAGCATCCTTTTCATATTTCTTGACGTAACAAGATCAGTATTAGAAAATGACTTAAATAGAGCTTCAAGTAAGCTTTCCCAAGAAGTTTATTTTCTATGAATTTTTAACAATGAATTAAACATAAAACATGTTCATTGTGAAGGCTGACCTTTACTTGACTGTGTACTTATTTTACTGCCTGTGTCACTAGGTTGTAAACTGCATTAAGTTTTTGGAAAACATCTACCTGTTCACCATAGTATTTTTGGTGTCTATCACTGTAAACATTTGCTGATAAATGAAGTAAACATTTTAGTATACATAAGCTGAGTATTTTATTTGTTACAAAGCTACTTGGCAAACTGTTAATTCTACTAAACAAAATTTATGCAAATAGTTTTCTTCTACACACACATACACACTTTATGTTTCACTATTTTCTATTATTTTCATTTGTCAGGGAGAGAGAGAGGGTGTTCCCATAGCTGGTTTATTCTGCAAGTGCCCATATGGTTGTGACAGGCAAAGGTAGGAGTAAGGAGAGCAATCCAGGTCTCCCATTGCTGACAGGAACCCAACTGCTTGAGCCATCGTTGTTGCCTCCCAGGGTCCATATTAGCATGAAACTGGAATCAGAAGCTGGAACTGAGGATGAAACCAGGTGCTTCAAGGTGGGGTGTGGGTATCCTGGCAATCAAAGCACTAGGCCAAATGATTTACTATATTTTGAATGCAACTAGTTGTATCAGTTTTGAGTAATTTTTTTAAAAATTGCATCATTATCAATTATGTAATATGTTTCTGAAGCCATCAAGCAGGAGAGGTAATTACTACATGTTAACCTAAATCAAACACAGTATAAAAGTGGTCAATATTAGAGTACCTAGGGGCCACATGCCACCTTGTTATCACAGTCAGCAGCTAGTCTCAGGGCCTGCTCATAGCACTCCAGGGCTTCTTTCAATTCTCCTTTCAACCTGTGGACCAACCCCTGGAGACTCCAGCCTTCCAGGTCAAATGCATTTGTCTTTAGTTTCTTTGAAGCCAATTGTTTCGAGGCATTGATACTTTTATCCCTGGCATATGAGTCCTTTCCTATTTTTATTGCCTTTAAATAATGGGTAATGGCATCAACTTCGGATTTCTTTTGAAATTGTTGAAATTGACCGTAGTGGAAGTGTATATCTTGCAGTATGTGTTCCCGGGCTGGTGTCATGCACAGCACTTTTTGGAAAGTATCTTCAGCTTTTTCAAGATCGCCTGCGGTTATATACATGTGTGCCAGGTGTATATAAGCAAACTCAAACGTGGGCTTTTGTTTGACAGCATATTCAAAGTGAAATATGACTAATTGAACCAGTCTGTCCACATTGTCTCTGTCCTGCTCTGTAGGCTGCAAGTGGGTAGTTTTCTTTATTTGGATCATTTGTTCCCTGTAGCAGAGGCCTATCTGGTGGTGAAGAATGGCAGAGCTGGGTGTTGCCTTCAAGGCCATTTTTAGGTACTTCAGAGCTTCATCCACACGGCCTTGTCTGCGGAAAAACATGGCTGCGTATCGAAAGACATAGGTCTGGGAGGATGTGTGAGCAAGAGCTTCCTCCAAGCACTCTCTTCCTTCGGCCTTCTGTCCTACATCCTGCAGCTTCAGAGCAAGCAGAGCTTTAAGGTATGCATCTTGTGGATTGAGCCTGACGGCCTTCCTTAGGGGCTGCAGAGAAAACGCATCACTGACATCGCATGGTCTTTTGGCAGGGTAATCCAGGCGATAGACAGTGATTGCATACCCTGTGTTGAATTCGGGGTTCTCAGGGTCTGCTTCCAGAGCCTTCTCAAAGCAGGCCTTGGCCCGCTCATAGTTCTTTCCTCCACACTTCAGCAAAGCCCAGCCTTCCTCACAGTCCATCTCAGGACACTGCATTCTATAGAGGGAGGGGTTTGCAGACTTCTGGCACGTATTCTCCACCTTGTCCAGGTACGTCTGTGCATCTGCCAGCCTGCCCATGTGGTAGTACACCCAGGCGTAGTTGCCCCAGGTCACCAGACTCCTCACATCTGAGTGGTCAGCCTGGTCTCCCTGAACCACCTCTTCTGCTTCTTTCAGGTTCTCCAGGGCATCCTCATGCTTGCCTTGCAGGTGTTTCACATAGGCCAGCAGGTTGTATATTCCTACCTTGTGTTCAGTGTCTAGAAATTGAATCTCTTCCAGGATTCTGTCTTCTAGGTCAGGCAACCCAGTGTCTTCGATGAGCAGCCCCCATGTGAAGTGACATCTCAGCTTCTGCAGCCTGTCCTTCAGCGGATGCTCCTCAGCACGCTCACTGTGAAACAACAGCAGAATTCATGTAGCTGATGAAGGAATGCCAAAGCAAAAAGACCCAAGAAACCACATGTCCAATTTTAGTCTCTCTTCTTAAAAGTGTACCGCTTGTATTTCTTACAGAGCACCATATTTTTTTTTTTTTATTTTTATTTTTGACAGGCAGAGTGGACAGTGAGAGAGAGACACAGAGAGAAAGCTCTTCCTTTGCCGTTGGTTCACCCTCCAATGGCCGCCGCTGCAGCCGGCGCACCGCGCTGATCCGATGGCAGGAGCCAGGATCCAGGTGCTTTTCCTGGTCTCCCATGGGGTGCAGGGCCCAAGCACCTGGGCCATCCTCCACTGCACTCCCAGGCCATAGCAGAGAACTGGCCTGGAAGAGGGGCAACCGGGACAGAATCCGGCGCCCTGACCGGGACTAGAACCCGGTGTGCCGGCGCCGCAAGGTGGAGGATTAGCCTATTGAGCCACGGCGCCGGCCTAAAGCACCATATTTTTAAGATATGGGCTGTGAATGTCTTTCGGTCGACTATCTTCTGGCTCTAGTACTTTCTGGCTAACCAACTACTCTTAGGATCGTCTTTGTAAGTGAGGATAATAATAAAACTTCTCATACTGGGCTTAGGGAAGCTTAATAAGCCTAGAGATCTATAGCACTTAGATATATTATAAGCTATATCAAAGGTTTTTTATTTTGCTGCTAATATAATTGGGACACAGACCAGTTAGTAATACAGATGCTTATTAAATGTTATGCATTTGAATATCTTAGTCTCCATATAATGCAAGATATTCAGAGCAACCAAAAGACATACTGTTTTACCAAGGGTTTTTTCCCTCCACTCAACATACCTCTAATTTCACACAAAGGTAGAGCAGAGATTCAGGGTTTCCTTCATTCACTTTTCTCAGTGATCACATCTTATGTAATTATAATCCAATATGAACATCAGGCATTGACATTGGTACAATAATGTATGTATGTAGTTCTGTGATTTTTTTCTTCCCATTAATGAACTTGGAACTACCACCTCAATTAATATTCAAAACTATCCCATCACTGAAACATTTCTCTTAGGATAACCCTTTATAATCAACATGTCCCTTCTTGACCTAGCCTCCCAAACATCCTGGCCTTTTGGAGTTACTAATTTGATTTTCATCTCTGATGTTTTCATTTAAAAATATGTGCTATAAATGGAGAATGTTATACACTATGCAAATAGCAACCAATGTAATATACCAAATTAATAGAATTAAGGGGAAAAATAATGACTCTCACCACAGAAAAAGCATTTGGCAAAATTAACATGCTAACAGATACAAACACTCAATGAACAAGTAATAGAAGGAAACTACCCCCAACACAATAAAAGCCACATATAAAAAACCCACAGTGAGCATCACACTCAATGCTAGAAGATGAAATCTCATCTTTCAAGATCAGGAACAGACAAGGATGCTTGCTTCCACAAATTCTATTTAGCATAGAATCATATATAGAAAAAATCTAAAAATATAGATCTTATATATAGAAAATCTTGATGATTCCATGCAGAAACTGTTTCAACTAATAAATAAATTCAGCAAAGTTGCAGGATAAAAAAATCAACACGAAAAAATCCCTTGTGTTTCTGTATACTATGAACAATCTAAAAAGGAAATTAAGAAAGCACAAATCTCATATTTAATACCATGACAATGATATACTTAGGAATAAACTTAACCAAAAGGTAAAAGATTTGTATATCTAAATCTGTAAAACATTGCTGAATGAATTGAAGAAAGACACAAATAAGTGGAAAGACATCCTGTGTTCATGGATCAGAAGACTTAATATTGTAAAGAAGACAACACTACTCAAAGAAATATACAGATTTAATTCATCCCCTGTCAAAATCCCAACAGCTTTTTCTTTTTCAGAATTAGAATTCTCATCCTAATTATATTTAGGATCTCAAAAGATCCCAATTAGCCATTACAATCTTGAGAAATATTACAAAGTTGGACAGCTCACATGTCATATTTTAAAACATACTAAAAAAAGGATCAAAATACTGAGTTCCTGGCATAAAAACAAACTATATAGACGAATGGAGTACAATAGAGAGCCCAGAAATAAACTGTTGAATAAGGGTTGTCTTCATCAGCTCAGGCTAAAATAACAAAATATCAGACTGGATGGCTTAAAAGATTTTTTTTTTCAGGAGTTCTGGAAGCTAGAAGTCCCAGATGAAGGTACCAAAAAATCTGGACCCTGCTGAGGACTCCTCTGGATTTGCAGTGGCTGCCTTCTTGCTGCCTCCTCACATGGCCTGTCTGCATTGGTCCACGAGGAGAAAACATACTTGGGTCTCTTCATCTTTTTATGAGGATACCAGCCTTACCAGATTAAAGTCCTGCACTATGACCTCACCGTTATTCCTTCCTATTCAGCACTATCTCCAGATAGAGTCTCAATAGGACTTAGAGATTCAACAACAAGTTTGTGTGGCAGTACACAATGAAGTTCATTCTTTTTTTTTTTTTAAGATTTATTTATTCATATGAAAGGGAGAATTATAGAAAGGCAGAGGCAGAGAGAGATAGCGAAAGTGAGAAAGAGAAAGAGAGAGAGAGAGAAAGAGAAAGAGATCTATCTGCTGGTTCACTCCCTGGATGGCCACAACAGCCCAAGCCGCACCTATTGGAAGCCAGGAGCCATGTGCACGCAGGTGCAGGGGCCCAGGGACTTGGGCCATCTTTCACTGCTATCCCAGGCCATAGCAGAAAGCTGAATTGGAAGTGGAACAGCTAGGACTCAAACAGGCACCCATATGGGATGCTGGCACTGCAGGCAGTGGCTTTACACACTGTGCCACAGTGTCGGCCCTGAAGTTCATTCTTATGGTGAAATAGTTTTTGACAAAAGTGTTTTACTTTGGGAAAAAGAGTCTTTTGAATAACCACACAAAAGAATAAAGCTAGTCTCATGTTATTCCACATAAAAATATTAACTTAAAAGAGAATAAAAAAAATGTATAACCTAAAGCTATACAACTCTTAGAAGGAAACATTAAAAAAAAAAAAACCCTCAGGACATGATTTGACAGTGGTTTTTTGATCATGATACTAAAACCCTAGGGAAAAACAGACAAAATGGATAAATTGGACTTCATGGAAATTAAAAATTTGTGTATATCAAAGGACATTAGCAACAAGTGATAAGAAAACTTGCAGAACAAGAGAAAATACTTTGAAAGCATGCATCTGGTAAGAGATTACTATCCCGTGTATACCAAAATCTCCTACAAATCAGCAACAAAAGGACGAAGAACTCTTTACAGATGTGCAAAGGACTTGAGTAGACATTTCTCCAAAAAAGTCACAGAAGACCAGCAAGCACATGAAAGCATAGTCAACATCATTAGTCATTAGCAAAATGTAAATCCAAATCACTTCTCACTAAGTCAGCTAAATTGGAAAAGAAAAAAACAGTGAGGAAGCATCAGCAATGATGTGGGAAAATAGAAATCCTCAGACATTGCTGGCAGGAATGAAAAATGGTACAGTTGCTGTGGAAAGTAGCTATTTGACTCTCAACAAGTAATTCGTAGATTAGCATAGAGCCCACTCCAGGGTATATATTCCTGGCTATATCCCAAACCTCCGTGTATGCTCAAAATAATTAGAAGGAAATAAGGAACATTTGTACACAGTTGTTCACTGCAGCAATACTCTCAACAGCCCAAGAATGGAAACAATCCAAATGCTCATTACCTGATGAACAGATAAGCACAACATAGAATAGCTAGAAAGGTAATATTATTCAAACGTAGAAACAAATAAGGCAGCTGCACATGCTTATTATAAGAAGCCAATTCCAAAGGTCAGTTATTTTTCTCCCCATTTGATTTGAGGTGTCAGTCATGAGAGTGACTATGAAGACTAGCCCCAACCCAGGGTGTTTACATGTGTCTCTCAATGGCTACCTCTTTATTTTGGTTCATGGCCTGATGCTAAATGTCTGGTCCCTAATCAGGTGTCCCTCTCATAGGACACTCGTTCCTACTGGCAATCACCACTGTGGCCCTGGTCTGACATTGTCCAAGCCATTGCTGTCAGGATAGGCCCTCTCTGGGAGAGCCCTGACCTGAAAGGAAGTTAGGATCAGGTGAGCTAAAGAGGAGACAACTCAAAGAAACACATCAACTAACAGAGCAGCTAAATCTTTACAGGTCCCAGAGAGAAGAGTGCAAGCACCATGCAGGGCTGATGGGAATGGGAGAGCCACTGGGAACATGCATGTTCTACCACGGGGTGGGGAGAAGAGAGATGTACCTGTGGGCCCAAGTCTTTATTAGCGTCCAGGGCATTATCTACATGGGTTTCCTGCAGTGTTCGAATTGGCAGGTTTGGAAGAAATGACTGGGGTCATGCAGTAAAACATGAAAGCAAACTAATAAGAGTTCTTTGAATCAAGATTCAGTTGAGGCCATACAGAAATTCTCAGACAAGGCCCTGTAGGCAAGGGAGATATTCCTGCTTCCAAGCACAGAACTCCAGCCAAGACTCACGGCAAGGCAGGTGTCAGGGTTCTGTGGACGGCCGGAGTTCCCCTGGGAAGAAGTATCTGCTGCTCTAAAATGCAGCCAGACTGACACAGGAGCCCCGCTGGGCAGAAAGTCAAAGCAGAAGCCTGCAGGGTAGGGCCATGAGCTGCTCTTGCCACTTCCCCACAATATTTTCAGCAGAGCGTCTCAGAGGCCTCCTGACTGCAGCTGACCCAGCCCCATGGACCCTGTGTTTCCTCCCTGGTGAGGAGTCAGCAAAAAATGCCGTCTGCATGAATAAGCTGCCCAGTCCTCCACACACAGGACAAGTGCATTTGGTAGAACAGACTCTTGAGATTTGGATCAATTTCTCCCTTCCTGCAAAACTCTTTTCCATTTTCCCTCTCCTCTTTAGAATATAATATGAGGAAATATTGCTTAGGTCAAAGTTAACAAAACTAAAAATGCCTGCATGAAAGAAGTCCTTTACCTGTGTTTAGGAATGTGTATCCCCATAGTCTTGGACACACACAAACATACATGCACACACACTGACACTCCAACATACTAGTCCAAATACAGCTAGTTACATAGAGTCATTGGGAAACTTGACCTTACTGAGACCAAACCTGTTGAAATAATATTGATGAAAAGTTTCTCAGAATCTCTACAGACACAGTGCAAAGAAGCTGAGAGCCTCTTACCTCATGGTGGCTGTGAGGAGTCCGAAGTTCTGTAGGGTTTCCTTTAGCTGGATGGGGTCCTTGGTGATCTGGCCAGTCTGCCTTGTAGATTTTCAGATACCTCGGAATATATAAGGGAGGTAACAGCAGGAAATGTTGTCAGTTGAGGGTGTATCCCTGCATTTGAAAGCTGGAAACCGAAAGTGGAAAATGAAACTGAAACTTTTCCCTGGAAAAGGAAACTGAAACTTTTCCCTGGAAAAGGAAACCTAGAGACTGCTTTGCTCTCTTTCTCAAACTGTACTTTAGATGTTGTGTGTAGGGGTGGGTGCAAACTCTTGAAATCTGTTCTTAGCATAGAGTTGGTCTTCTGTATATAAAGTTGAACTAAAAATGAACATAATAATGAAGAATGGGATGGGAGAGGGAGTAGAAGGTGGGACAGGAGTGGGGGTGGTAGGGGGGGTATGGGGCAAAGAACCACTATATTCCTAAAGTTGTACCTATGAAATATGCATTCATTAAAAATAGCTTTAATTAAAATACGACAATGGGATATCTTGACATATGAAGTAAACTATGGAAATAGTCAACAACAGAAAATAAAGAAAACCGGTTGATAAGAGACTGGGGAAAACAGTTGTGCTGATGTGTCATTTTCTGTTTCCATCCTTGGACAGAATTGGCACTGGCAGATGGAGCTTAGTAAGGAGGCTGTGGAGCAGGCCGGCAGGGAAGCCCAGGCATGTGGCTGTGTGAACCTGCAGAAGTCTGCCCTTGCCTGCACCTCTGTTTGCTTACTGGAATAAAGAATTTTTCTTTTCATGGTACAAGAGTCTGCACATCTCTAAATGGAAGCCTTAGCCTACATTTACCGCTGTTCTCTGAGATACCAAGTAATATTGATTATACTGGAATGTTGCATTACTTTGCAATAGGTGTTTTTAGGTCTTAGAAGTCATAGAAACAGAGTGTATGTATGTGTCAGCATACTGAGTCTTTAGTCAAAGCATACTAGGCTTTAATGACAATCTATTTCTCATTCTTGGTGAATAAAGGCCCTTGGAGCTGTGTAAGCTGATCTGATTCCCCAGAGATAAGTATCTTGGGTATGTATGGTTACAATAGCTGTGCCCAGTCCTCTGGGGGCCCTGACATGCTGGCGTGGCCTACAACAACTTGCCCCACATCATCTTCTGTGTTCATAATAGACTGGGAAGAATAAGCCTGTGCTGAGATTCGGATTCGGGGTAGAGGTTTGCTTCTTATTGGTGGTGTCTACCAGAGCTCCACTTTTCTCTTGTTGGTGCTAGAAACTACCCCCTGTCATGATACATGTGGCAATGTGATGATCCTGCAGCTGTTTATTCAGAGCAAACTTACCTGCAGGACAGTGAATTAGTCATGGGAAAGCCCTTGATGGGGAGGAGATGCCCAGACTTGTTTCCCTAGAAAGCTGTATCTGGAGCTGTTGATCCCATCACATCCATATTTGATGCCATTGTCCAAGAGGTTTTTCTCTGTGGCCTGAAGTTAAGAAAATCAATAAAAGTTAATTCACAAAAAAGGTTCTCATATACTTGAGTGGAGAGAAATAGAGAACCAGACAGAGATAGAAGCTACAAAGCTGTGCAAGTGCCTTTTCTCCACAGCTGTTCATCAAGTCAAAGGCCAAGGCCACGTGCAGGGTCATGTGGGGTTTTCAGGTGTGGGCTGAGCAGTGCAAACCAAGATCATCACTGGCTGTGGGCCTGGGGCCATAGGTGTGGCTAGTGCTGCAGAATCCCAGGGAGCATCCTGCATTTGGAACCATATGTACCTCCTACTCTGAAAAGGGGCATTAGCCCATTGTTGCCTTCCCCAGAAGACAGTGGCTGGATTCTGGATGGCTACAGAAGAGGGGGTCATGAAGGAATCAGTCTTATTTTCTCTTGGCTTTTTATATGCAGAAGGAATCTGCTATAATATATAAATATCTACTCTGAATTAAATAACAAGGATTTTAGGTGTTACTATTGGTTTCAGCTTGACAGAAATAAACCATCAACCTGGTTTAGGAAAGAGGGTGTTGGGTCACAGAAAAGGGTAATCCCAGAATTGGCACTTTGACCTGCTAAGAGCTTTATTGGCTGCCTCAACCTTGCCTTGTTTGTCTTACACAAATGCTGGGAAGAGGTCTCTCTCTGGGATCCCCTCCTTGCATCAAGGCCAGGCCTAAAAAAGTGAAGCCAGTAGCCTTCCATCTCACCCATTATCATTTGCAACAAGATGGAGGAATTTGGAAAACATCATGCTGAGTGAATTAAGCCAGTCCCAAAGGGACAAATATCATATGTTCTCCCTGATTGGCGACAACTAACTGAGCACCAAAGAGGAAACTTGTTGAAGTGAAATGGACACTGTGAGAAACAGTGACTTGATCAGCTCTTGTCCTGATGGTTGATGTACAATGTAATACTTTATCCATTTTAGTATTTTTTTTGTTCTAGTACCATTGGTTGAACTCTGTAATTAACACACAATTATTCTTAGGTGTTTAAATTTTAACTGAAAAGTGATCCCTGTTAGGAATTTGGAAAACATTATGTTGAGTGAAATAAGCCAATCCCAAAGGGACAAACACCACTTGTTCTCCTTGATAGGTGACAACTAACTGAGCACCAAAAAGGAAACCTGCCAAAGTGAAATGAACACTATGAGAAACGGTGACTTGATCAGCCCTCACCCTGACTGTTGATGAGCAGCTTAATATGTTATCCCTCTTAGTATTTTTTTTTGTTTGTTCTACAGAATACTTTTGGTTGAATACTGTAATCAATACACAATTCTTCTTAAGTGCTGAAACTTAACTGAAAAGTGATCACTGTTAAATATAAGAGTGGGAATAAGAGAGGGAAGAGATGTGCAATTCGGGACATGCTCAAGCTGACTTACCTCAAACAGTAGAGTTAGAAACATACCAGGGGATTCGAATTCAATCCCATCAAAGTGGCATGTACCAATGCCATCTCACTAGTCCCAGTGATCAATTTCTGTTCACAATTGATCATCATGATATGATAGGACTAAGAACCAAAGGGATCACATAAACAAGAACAGTGTCTGCAAATACTAGCTGATAGAATAAAAAAGGGAGAGAACGATCCAACATGGGAAGTGAGATACACAGCAGACCCATAGAATGGCAGATGTCCTAAACAGCGCTCTGGCCTCAGAATCAGCCCTTAAGGCATGCGGATCCGGCTGAAATGCCCATGAGAGTATTTCAGGCATGGAAAGCCAAGACACTCTGGGGGAAAAAAAAACCTAAAAGCTCTCCACGAGTGAGATCCCAGTGGAAAGAATGGGACGTCAAAGAAGGAGGTACCTTTCTCTGAAGGGAGGAGAGAACTTCCACTTTGACCATGGCCTTGTCTAAATATGATCAGAGTCAGTGAACCCAGGGGGCTTCCATAGCCTTGGCAGCTCATGACAAGAGCCTCGGGTGATTCCTGATGCCATAAACAAGAGTGTCAATTTGTTAAGTCAACAACAGGAGTCACTGTGCACTTACTCCTCATGTAGGATCTCTGTCCTTAATGTGCTGTACATTGAGATTTAATGCTATAACTAGTACTCAAACAGTATTTTTCACTTTATGTTTCTGTGTGGCAGCAAACTGTTGAAATCTTTACTTAATGTATGCTAAACTGATCTTCTGTAAATAAAGAGAATCGAAAATGAAAAAAAAAAAAAGAAAAAAGATGAGTAAGGACCTCAACATCATGCCTGTGATCACACACATCGTGTCTGTCCCTCTCCTCATTCAGGGACCACAGGGCATCACTCCAAGGCTAGTTTCTGTGTAGCAGCTCCGTTGATTCACCCTGGTAATCACTTCTTATCCCTCTGAGACCCTGTGCAACTCTCCCTTCTGCTTCCTCCTCCCTTTTAAAGAGATTATTCAAATTGTACCTCTGTGGCCTTTCTTTGAGACCGGTACAGTTAGCTGTGTTTCCCATGTTTCAGCACCTTAATCAGCCTATATTTTTCCTAGTTAGTCTGTTTTCAGTTTATTTCATATACTAAATTATACTAAAAATCCAGAGGGAAAAATGAACATTCAAAGCTTTTCTATAAAGGCAAGAAGTGAAACGCCAAAATAGCCCTCCATGCCCTGAGCACTGTGGCAAGAGGTGTCATGGTTAAGAATAGCCCCCATGGCATGTAGAAGCAGGTTGCAACTTCAGTGTGATGCCTGCTTGTAAAAAACACAGCTCACTTTGTCCCTACAAATGCAAAACAGAAGAGGAGCATCTGCAAGAATATTTTCCACTTAGAAACAGTTAATTGATCATATTGCCAGGCCTACACAGGTCCTTTTAACCCTCTGCCCAGCCCCTCTCTCCCCTTAGCCCGAACCAAAGCCGTAAGCTTCCACCGAGAAATTCTGAGCTCTTCAGAAAGTTCTACACAAAGAGCAGCTTCAGAGTTAGTAAGACGGGTTTTGTTACATTTTCAGATGAATAGTCAGTCTACAAGCCAATGCTGAGGCAAATGAATTAGAGAAGTTCTGTTTTCTGAGAGCACAATGTCTTTGGAATACATGTGGAAAAACAATTGGGCTTTCCATTTCCCAATGCATCCGATACCTTGTAGAGAAGGGAACAATGTGTTTATCCGGTCTTTGTTCTGAATTAGCCAGCAAGCCTGATTCTCTGGGTTTGGCTTGGGCTGATTCGTCATTCAGAATCCTGTCTAATGTCTCTTGGATCTAACAGATCCAGAGTGACACAGGAATAAGTGACATTAAAGAAAGTGAAAAGTAGAAATATCTAACAAGTGTGTGTGTGTGTGTGTGTGTGCATGTGCGCACGTGCACACAGGTGCGCACGCTCATGTGCAAGTGTTCACAGATGGGGAAGAAATTGAAAACTAGAAAAAATCTGGGAAAGCAAATTTCATCCCTGGACTCTGGGTCCAATCCTAGGAGTACAGGAACAACTCTTTGCATGACTGGCCAGTTTTGAAAAGCCACTTCACCTCTGTGAAGTCAGTTCAATGCTGGATAGCAGGTGATACTCCTATTTCTGGTAAAGGACTCTGTTTCCCAAGAAACAGGGATCCACCTCCCTTTGTTCCTTATAGAGTTACCTCTGCAGGTTGTTTTATTAATGAAAGCAGCAAAGGGCCATCCACTTCCTAGAAAGGACAGCCCCTGCAGGCTGTTTCAGTTCAATTTTATGGGTTGGGTATTCATCTGCACAGCATGTTGGATCTAACCAGCTTAAACCAGGCTCTGGTCTGCCTCTGCCATTCTGCACTCTTTGTAGGACATTCTTTGTCTCTGATTCTTGCAGGGCCTTCCACGTACCATATCCTGGTGGTACATTTTTGCAAGACCTTGCTTGTTGTCTGGTTCCTGGCAGGTCAGGACTGGTGGCTGTGACATGTAATCTCAAATTTCATTACATGATAAAGTAGAGATTTTAGAAGAATTAGCAGGTCTTAATCCTCACTGCACATTAAAATCAACGAGGGAATTTTTAAACAAAATACCAACTAGACCCCATCTCTGACCAATCCACTCGTGTCCAGGAGTGGGCACCCAGCCTCAACATCGCAAGGAAGAGTATCTGGATGTATGTCAGGCTGGACCCAGGGCCTTGATGGTGCCTGCTATCCTCTACATGTCTGAAATCCTCTGATAGAGAGTCTGGGACTTAATCCTTGGGTGTATTTCTTTGAGGCCCACTTTTAGGGTCTGCATCTCTCTGTGCCTTGCAGCATCATGTACACCATGGACAATGAACTTCTCAGTCTATTCTAGAGTCACAGGATGTCATAGGAAAGAATTCTAGTTTGCTCTTTTTTTTTTTTGTGATTCCAACTGTAGGAGATTAAGCCATTTCTACTGAAGTTTCTCAGGTATCCATTCACAGTTTTTAAAGGAATGTGAATGTGTGCCATACAGGATTGCCCTCTTTTCCATGGCTGTTGTGTGTAGTCTCAACCAGTTAACAATTTGCTACAGGCCATATGGAATAAGGTCTATTGACAAACTGGTTTCTTGTTAGAAACAAATTCAGCCCATATATGGCGCTGCTTTCCACAGTCTGGCATTTCTATCTTCCCAGTATCCTCCTCCCATGAGAATGTACTGGGGAGATTGTTAGGATGTTTTGTTTGGTAATCACAGCTAAATGAGAGCATTGAAGTTACGGGGGGCAGATGTACAGGATGCTCTCCTCTTAAAAAGCAATGGTTGGACGGAAGTCATTTATCCATGGACACTGGTTTCCTTAGAGGTTTCAAGTCATTATAAAAGTCAAGTTGATGAGTATTTCTCCTTATAATCTCCCATGAAATGGTGAGACCATCTCTCTGTTCATTACACATTATATTATTTCCTAATTTACTCAATCATAAAGTTGTGCTCGGTAACAGCCTATTTCAAGATTGTAATTCTCAGTGCTTTGACCACTATATGAAAACTGTGGTCTTGGCTTTTGAGATTATAGGACTTCCAATCAGATCTACCGAGAAAGGGCTCAGCTACCAGAACCCCATTGTACAAATGGTTTGATGATTTTAACACCTTCTTCTGGGTCTTCCAGGGACCATCTGCCCACATTGACTCACAATTTAGTTTACTGCAACATATTCAGGTATGAAAGCATTTTCATGATTTCATGTTTTTACATTTCAGAATTACTTTGAAACAATTATAGACTCATAGGAAGCTGTGGTAAGGGTCCTGTGTACCTTTCACCTGAATTCCCCATTGGTAACATCTCATATCACCCTAGTATAATTGTAAAAAGCTGGAAAATGAAATTATTACTCTGTGAATTTTGTGGATAAGATGTCATAAGTGCATCTTATTAATTCAGCTGCATGTGATTGATTTAGGTGAATCAAACTTAAATATATATATATATGTTGGCTTCCAAACTGAACCTCTTCTTTCTAAAGTAATACCAGTTGGTTATTATGAGGTGTTTCCTAAATTACACTACAACGGTCTCTGAGTAATGAGAGTGCATCAGGACAACTCCAGAATGTTTGCTGAGTAGATTTCATGAATGTTTTCCCTGTACCTTTTGCAATGTGTCCTACCAAAAATGTAGGATCCAGTTAGTGTATTCAAAAGTCCTGAAATTTGTGTTCTCTATGTGCTTTCATCTTCCATCCCATGAATACAATATCCCATTTTGTCCAGTTTGCATTAGTTTTTTAAAATGTTTCTATTTTCTCTTTTAAGTATCTAATTTCTGATGTGTATTTCCAGAGAGGACAGATGGGAGAACTTTACAAGAATACTCATGTATGCAGGTCCTGTAGTTCACATTTCACTATATGCACTCAACCACGTATCTATCCATTCATCCATTCAGTTTCCTTTTCTTTTCCTTTTTTCAGGTTTCTTTATTTGAGAGGTAGAGTTACAGAGAGAGGTCGAGACGGAGGGAGAGATCATCCATCTGCTGATTTACTCCCCAAATGGCAGCAACAGCCAGAGCTAGGCCAGTCCGAAGCCAGGAGCTTCTTCCAGGTCTCCCACATGGGTGCAGGGGCCCAAGCACTTGGGTCATCTTCCACTTTCCCAGGCACATTACTAAGGACACCACTTTCCCAGGCACATTACTAAGGACAGGATCAAAAGTGGAGCAGTGGCAACTCAAATTGGTGCTGCAGGCAGAGGATTAGCCTACTATGGCACAGTGTTGGCCCTTCCATTTTGTTTTGTATCCATCCATCAATTTATTTTTTAAAAATTGTTAAAGATGAGGCAGAGAGAGAGAGAGAGAGAGAGGAGAGGCAGAGAGAGAGAGAGAGAGGTCTTCCATCCACTGGTTCACTCCCCAATTGCCCGCAATGGCCGGAACTGTACTGGTCTGAAGCTAGGAGCCAGGAACCTCCTCCGGGTCTGCCACACGGGTGCAGGGGTCCAAGGACTTGTGCCATCCTCTACTACTTTCCCAGGCCATGGCAGAGAGCCGGATTGGAAGTGGAGCAGCCAGGACCCGAACTGGCGCCTATATGGGATGCTGGCACTGCAGGTGGTGGCCTTACCCGCTATGCCACTGCACTGCCTCCAATTAATTTTTTTTAATCATTACATAAAATGGCCAACACTTTATAGGATGCATATGGTGTCATGTTTGGCTTTAGAGTTAGGTAAAATACTTACATGGTGCCAAATACCAATAAGGAGGTTCCAGCTTCTGTGGCTTTCCCTCCCTTTGCCCCATCATTTCCCAGAAGCTAGCATTAGAATTTTTCATTTATCTTTCCATTGTTGTCATTTTAAACTGAATAGATAAATACGTATTTTTATGTACCTTCTGCTTTCCCTCTGTTCCTTTGTGGTCCATTTGGTACCGAAAGGATAAGTACATTCACCAGCCAGTTTGGGTGACTTCAGTCCTTGAGTTTCCAGGGTGAAGGGAGTTGATGTTGTTAAAATTACTTGTTTAGAACTTACTTTACACTCACTCACAGATATAGACTCACACATGGAGACACATGCACACACACACACACACATCGTCACAGAAGGTCACACACTCTATGAAGTAGATCTGATAGGAGAAAAGCATATTTTGATTCTAGTACCTGAAGTACTAGAAATGTTTTAATATTAATGAATTTTTTGTTGCAATGAACCCAAACTTTCTGACAATTTACCACTTATGTCAGTGACTTTCTAATATTTGTCCTGAATTCAGTCAGGAGTTTTATGAATCTTCCAATAATTGTTTTTGCCAAGGCTGATCTCTAGCTAAATAGCAATAGCTTTCATTTTAGCAACAGTTACAGTACTGAGCCAAATTGAAAGCTTAGAGCTGTGGGGTGTGAGGACTGGAAGAATGTTGTGTGTTTTCCAAGCAGAAGAGATGTGTCTTCAAATTTCTCATTTCTACCATGAACGGTGGCAAATATTTCTCCACAGTGGGCTCTTCTATAGGGATATAGAAGGTATTCAAGGAGAGGCAGGTAAAGCCAAATCACACATTTTTCCCAGGAAAAAGGAATATTATTACCTTAGTATTTCTCTCTGATCAAATTTATTAACTCTTTTCCTTTAGTATCAACAGAATTGAACGGAGTGGTTCTTGTATGTTCCCCAGGGATGGTCTGAATGATGCACTCTGTCCCTACTCTGTTCCCCACCATTGGTCAATTCCAGCTCTCAGGGATCAAGGTGACAAGAGTCAATCTTCCAAGGCCTGTAGAAATAATTACTTTCCAAGTATGTTTTAAAATTCTAGCCATGCTTTATAATCCCAAGGATTGCTCTGTTTCAGGCCTTCTAGCACTGCGTATGTTGATGATTTTGATTTTGCTATTTCCACAAAAACATAGAGTACACATCTTTTTTTTTTTTAAAATCTCATTGACAAAGGAATCACTCAAGAAATTTGTGATCTTAGGAAATTTTGCTGAATATTTTTGTGTAGGTACAAAACAGATTCTATCTCACACCACCCAGCAGCACTGGAAACATGCATCCAGTTGTGAATATCGTCTTCAGCTTACACATCCAGAAGGTTTTCCATTACATGTTTCCCTCATTAAACTGGAGAAACAGAGATGTGAGTAAATGCTCAGGAACATATTTGGATCATGAAGAACCCTTGTGACTGCCAGTAGCTGAACTGACAAAGGGTAATGTTATTGGCTTGACTGACTCACTGATCCGCAGGTGGTAGCTTCAGTGGGTCCTTGGGAAGTGGAACTCTAGGCTAAGGTGCTGTAGCAGACTCCAGAATCCTCTCCTTGTCTGTACCTTTAACCTTTGCTCAATGGTTTTACCCTTTGCACTGACCCTGTTGCAGATCAATGTTCCAGGTCACGTGAAAAAGAAACATTGCTTCTTTAAGTCTTCTCTGTGTGGGTTATCAGCTAATGTGAGGGTGGAAGCTCTTCATTCCAAGGGCAGAATCAGGCAGAGCATGTTCTCATTGGCCCTACAGATGATTGGTGCCCCAATTAGCATTAGAGTTTTTTTGTTTGTTTGTTTGTTTTGTCAACAAGAAGTGCATGGATGCTGTAAAGAGCAATCTCTGCAGGAAGTACACATTTTTTTTAAAAGCATTACTTAGGAGGGAGAAGGAGAGGGTGAGGTAGAAGTAGAGGAGAGAGGGAGAGAGAGAGAGAATTATCTCCACTGCTTCATGCCACAAATGCCTGCAACAGCCAGGACTGGGCCAGGCTGAAGCCAGAAGCAAGGAATTAAATTCAGGCGGCGGAGATGCAAGTACTTGCAGTATCAGCTCTGGCTCTCAGGCTGTGCTTAGCAAGAAGCTGGTATCAGGCGTGGAGCTGGGATTCAAACACAGACCTGATATAGCATGCAGGCATCCTAAGGGCCATTTAAAGTGCTATAGCAAACGCCCCTCCTAGTTACTCTTTTCAAGTTAGTGCTTGGGGAAAGATGATGTTATATTTCGTTTTGAGTACCTTACTTGGATAACGGCGATCTCCATTTCAGAACATGGAGTTGAGGTCAGCAGCCAGCCTTAGAGCCTTCTCATAACACAGCAGGGCTTCGCTCACTTCCCCTCTCAATTTGTGGATGAGCCCAAGGAGGGCAGTACTTTCCACATCTCGGACATTCTGGTTCACACGTCTTTCTGCCAAAATCTCTAAAGCCTTGAGCAGTTTTTCCCTGGCATGGGACACTTTTTCTATTTTTAGACCTTTTAGATACTGAGTGATGGCTTTGTCTTCTTCAGAACGTCCACGAAGCTCATAGAATTGGCCAAAGCGGTAATGAATTTCTTGCTGGATGTGATCGTCAATGTCCTTGATGCGTAATGTTTCCTGAAAATGTTCCTCAGCCTCCCTGTACTGCTCTTTTTCCACATACATTTCTGCTAGGTTCACATGAGCCAATTCAAATGTGGGCTTTAATTTCAAAGTTTCTTGAAACTCACCTATAGCCAATTGTATCAGTCTGTCCACATTTTCTCTATCTTGCCTTCTAACTTTCCTCATTTGTGCCCGGTAGCAAAGTCCCAGCTGGTGATGCAGGAAGGCCGATGTGGGCGTTGCCTCCAAGGCCATTTTCAAGTACTTCAGATCTTTATCTATATGGCCTTGTCTGCGGAAAAACATGGCTGCGTATCGAAAGACGTAGGTCTGGGAGGACTGTTGGGCCAGAGCTTCCTCCAAGCACTCTCTTCCTTCGGCCTCCTCTCCTACATCCTGCAGCTTCAGAGCAAGCAAAGCTTTAAGGTATGCATCTTGTGGATTGAGCCTGACGGCCTTCCTTAGGGGCTGCAGAGAACACACCTTTCTATTATCATTGGGTGTTCTGCTAGAGTAATCCAGGCGATAGACAGTGATTGCATACCCTGTGTTGAATTCAGGGTTCTCAGGGTCTGCTTCCAGAGCCTTCTCAAAGCAGGCCTTGGCCCGCTCATAGTTCTTTCTTCCACACTTCAGTAAAGCCCAGCCTTCCTCACAGTCCATCTCAGGGCACTCCATTCTATAGAGGGAGGGGTTTGCAGATTTCTGGCACATATTCTCCACCTTGTCCAGGTACGTCTGTGCATCTGCCAGCCTGCCCATGTGGTAGTACACCCAGGCATAGTTGCTCCAGGTCACCAGACTCCTCACATCTGAGTGGTCAGCCTGGTCTCCCTGAACCACCTCTTCTGCTTCTTTCAGGTTCTCCAGGGCATCCTCATGCTTGCCTTGCAGGTGTTTCACATAGGCCAGCAGGTTGTATATTCCTACCTTGTGTTCAGTGTCTAGAAATTGAATCTCTTCCAGGATTCTGTCTTCTAGGTCAGGCAACCCAGTGTCTTCGATGAGCAGCCCCCATGTGAAGTGACATCTCAGCTTCTGCAGCCTGTCCTTCAGCGGATGCTCCTCAGCACGCTCACTGTGAAACAACAGCAGAATGTACTTGTAGTTGAGGGAGAACTAACTTTTTTTTATTTAATGAATATAAATTTCCAAAGTGCAGCTTATGGATTACAATGGCTTCCCCCCATAACGTCCCTCCCACCCGCTACCCTCCCCTTTCCCACTCCCTCTCCCCTTCCATTCACATCATGATTCATTTTCAATTCTCTTTATATACTGAAGATCGGTTTAGCATACATTAAGTAAAGATTTCAACAGTTTGCTGCCACACAGAAACATAAAGTGAAAAATACTGTTTGAGTACTAGTTATAGCATTAAATCTCAATGTACAGCACACTAAGGACAGAGATCCTCCATGAGGAGTAAGTGCACAGTGACTCCTGTTGTTGACTTAACAAATTGACACTCTTGTTTATGACATCAGGAATCACCCTAGGCTCTTGTCATGAGCTGCCAAGGCTATGGAAGCCCCCTGAGTTCACTGACTAGGATCATATTTATTTTTTTTAACTTTTATTTAATGAATATACATTTCCAAAGTACGGCTTATGGATTACAATGGCTTCTCCCCCATAACGTCCCTCCCACCCGCAACCCTCCCCTTTCCCATTCCCTCTCCCCTTCCATTCACATGAGGATTCATTTTCACTTCTCTTTATATACAGAAGATCAGTTTAGCATACATTAAGTAAAGATTTCAACAGTTTGCTGCCACACAGAAACATAAAGTGAAAAATAATAGATGATTTTTTAACTGATGATGAAATCAGATCAGACCTATTGTCATGTTTAATCCCAGTGAGAGTCAAGTTGGGAATTGCTAATTTGTTCTTTTTTTTTCAACAGATGATCAGTTTAGTATACATTAAGTAAAGATTTCAACAGTTTGCACCCCCATAGAAACACAAAGTGAAATATACTGTTTGAGTACTCGTTATAGCATTAAGCCTCAATGTACAGCACATTAAGGACAGAGATCCTACATGAGGAGTAAGTGCACAGTGACTCCTGTTGTTGACTTTACAAATTGACACTCTTGTTTATGGCATCAGGAATCACCCTAGGCTCTTGTCATGAGCTGCCAAGGCTATGGAAGCCCCCTGAGTTCACTGACTCTGATCATATTTAGACAAGGCCATGGTCAAAGTGGAAGTTCTCTCCTCCCTTCAGAGAAAGGTACCTCCTTCTTTGATGACCCGTTCTTTCCACTGGAATCTCACTTGTGGAGATCTTTCATTTAGATTTTTTTTTCCCCCAGAGTGTCTTGGCTTTCCATGCCTGAAATACTCTCATGGGCATTTCAGCCGGATCCGCATGCCTTAAGGGCTGATTCTGAGGCCAGAGTGCTGTTTAGGACATCTGCCATTCTATGGGTCTGCTGTGTATCTCACTTCCCATGTTGGATCGTTCTCTCCCTTTTTTATTCTATCAGCTAGTATTTGCAGACACTATTCTTATTTATGTGATCCCTTTCGCTCTTAGTCCTATAATTATGATCAGTTGTGAACAGAAATTGATCACTGGGACTAGTGAGATGGCATTGGTACATGCCACCTTGATGGGATTGAATTGGAATCCCGTGGTATGTTTCTAACTCTACCGTTTGAGGTAAGTCAGCTTGAGCATGTCCCGAATTGCACATCTCTTCCCTCTCTTATTCCCACTCTTATATTTAACAGTGATCACTTTTCAGTTAAGTTTCAGCACTTAAGAAGAATTGTGTATTGATTACAGTATTCAACCAAAAGTATTCAGTAGAACAAACAAACAAAAATACTAAGAGGGATAACATATTAAGTTGCTCATCAACAGTCAGGGTGAGGGCAGATCAAGTCACCGTTTCTCCTAGTGTTCATTTCAACATGTGACTTTTTTGTTTAAGATTTATTTTATTTATTTGAAAGACAGAGTTACAGAGAGAGGTAGAGACAGAGAGAGAGGTCTTCCATCCACTGGTTCACTCTCCAGATGGCTGCAACAGCCAAAGCCACGCTGATCCAAAGGCAGGAGCTGCGAGCTTCTCCCAGGTCTCCCACATGGAAGCAGGGGCTCAAGCACTTGGGCCATCTTCTACTGCTATCCCAGGCCATAGCAGAGAGCTGGATCAGAAGAGGAGCAGCCAAGACTAGAACTGGCACCCATTTGGGATGCCAGCACTTCGGGTCTGGGTGTTAACCTGCTGCACCAGAGCGCCGGCCCCCCAACATGTGATTCTTTACCTATACTCCCAAGCATCCCTGCTTTTGGAACTACTAATTTGACTTTCATCTCTCTGATACTACTATTTCAAGAATGTCCTACAAATGGAGATGGTCCTACAGTATAGTAACATCCATCAATGGAATATAACACATTAAGAGAATGTGTTGGAAAATCATGACTCATCAATGCAGAAAAAACTTTTGACAAAATTTAGCCTTCTCTCATGATACAAATACTCAACCCACATGTAATAGAAGGAAACTACTTCAACACAATAAAGGCCACATATGGAAAATCCCACAGCTAGCATACTAATCCATGCTAGAAGGTTGAAATTGTCCTCTAAGATCAGGAACACAAGCAAGGATGCCTCTCCCGCCACTTCTATTCAACATAGACCTTACATGTAGAATATTCTGATGATTCCATGCATAAAGTGTTAGAACTAATTTTAAAAATTCAACAAACTTCTGGATATAAAACCAACGTGCAAAAAAATCACTGTTTGTATACACTAGCAATAAACAGTCTGAAAAAAAGTAAAGAAAAAATCACTTATATACTATTATGAAGAAGAAAATATTAAGGAATAAACTTTAAAAAGAGGCAAGATAATTGTATGCTTAAAGAATTAAAAAGAGACACAATGGGAAGACATCCCTTGATCCAGTGGGAAAACCTAATATTGTTAAGATGTCAATACTATCCACAGCAATCTACAGATTTAATTCATCTCTTATCAAAACCCCAACAATATTTTCTCAGAATGGGAAAACTAATTCTAATTCATATTTGTGAAGTTCCAGATAGCCAAAAGAACCTTGAAAAGGGACTACCAATTTGACATCCACACTTCCTGTTTTAAAAACATATTGCAAAGCTACAGGAATCAAAATATTATGTTCTTGGCATAAAAACAGAAGATATAAACCAATGCCCGATTACAGAGTTTTATTAGTCAGCCCAGGCTGACATAACAAAATACCACAGACTGAATGGCTTAAAAATGTGTTTTCTTATAGTTATGGAAAAGAGAAATCTCAGATGAAGGTGCCAGACAGTCCTGTTGCTGGTGAGAACTCCTCTGGGTTTGTGGTGGCTGCCTCCTTGCTGCCTCCCCACATGGCCTGTCTGCATTGGCCCACAAGGAGAAAGAAAACTGCTGTCCCTTCCTCTTTCAGTAAGAAAACACCAGCCTTGCCAGGTTAAAGTCTTGCACTTAGACTTCACCTTTATCCTTCCTGTTAGAACCCAGCTCCAAATACTGCCAAATGGTACTTAAAGAGTCACCATATATTTTTGCATGAGTGGCAGTACACAATACTGTGTATATTTACTGTAAAACAGCTTTTGATATGAATGTTAAAGCCATTTATTTTGGAAAAAGATTCTTTTTTTTTAAAGATTTATCTATTCATGTGAAAGTCAGTGTCACACAGAGAGAGAAGGAGAGGCAGAGAGAGAGAGAGAGAGAGAGAGAGAGAGAGAAGAGGTCTTCCATCCGATGGTTCACTCCCCAACTGGCTGTGGATCCGAAGCTGATTGGGTCTCCCATGTGGATGCAGGGACCCAAGGACCTGGGCCATCTTCCACTGTTTTAGCAGAGAGCTGGATCAGAAGTGGAGCAGCCAGGCCCCAAACCGGCGCCCACATGGGATGACAACGCCTCAGGCCAGTGCTTCAACCCGCTGCACCACAGCACTGGCCCCGGAAAAAGATTCTTTTCAAGAAAAGGCATGAGAAACCTAGATAACCAGACTCAAGAGAATAAAGATAGACCCTTATGGGATTCCACATACAAATATTAACTTACAATAGATTAATTACCTAAATGTATGACCCAAGGCTATAAGACTTAGAAAGGAAGAAAGAAAAGAGGAAAGGAAAGGAGAGGAGAGGAGAGGAAAGGGGAGGGGAGGGGAGGGTTAGGGGAGGAGAAGAGAGGAGAGGAGAGGAGAGGAGAGCAAAGGAAAGGAAGATGAAAAACAGAAATCAAAACCTCAGGAATTGGCTTTGACTGTGTAATCTTGGTGGTGATATTAAAATCTTGGGCAAAACAGTCAAAATGGATAAGTTGGACTTCCGGGAAATTAGAAACCTTTGTGCATCAGAGGATACTAGCAACAAGTGAAAAAACAACTCAAGAAACAAGAGAAAATATTTGGGAAGCAGGTATCTGATAAGAGATTATTGTTCAGTGGATACAAAGATCTCTTACAAGGCAGCAACAGAAGGACATTGCACTCAATTTACAGATGTGCAAAGGCCTGGAGTAGACATTTCTCCAAAAAAGAATCCCAGAGGACCAGCAAGCACCAGAAAATGTATTTAACACCATTAGTCATTAGCAAAGTGTGAATCAAAATCACACTCAGATATAGCTTCTCAGAATGGGAAAACTAGCATATAACTAACCCAGATATAATGAAAAGGAAAAAGAACGAGGTAATAAATGAATAAGTATTAGCAATTGATTGAATCAATTGAAATGCTGACATTGCTGGTGGGAATGACAATGGTGTACAGCTGCTGTGGAAAATAAGCTATTTGGACTCTTAATAGTTATCTATAGAGGTATTGTTTAATCTACTTCTGGGCATATTCCACATGTGAGGGCATGCTGCAATTAAGTAAAAGTAGGTGTTCATGAAAAATGTGTGCACGGATGTTCATTGCAGCACAATTCTCAGCAGCCAAAAGATGTACATCAATGATCCAATGATAAGCACAATGCAGAATGTCTGTAATGGGGAATATTACACATTTATGAAAAAGAATGAAGTACCTATAGATGCTACAACACCCCAAAAAGA